ACTGCACCTGAAGCAGAGCATTTTGTTGTTTTCATGCCAACCTACAGTGTAAAGTTGGACGTGGAGTGCATGGTTACAGCTGGCTTGAAGGAAAGACCACACTGAAGGTCACATAAAAACAAATTTCTACAGTTTGAGTTCAAAACAAACCTCATAATTACTGTGTAGGCCTCTCTTATTCATCACAAGGACTCAATGAGTTTCAGCCACTGCTTCTCTCAAGACAGCCTATTAATTAGAGGACAGCTTCACCCAAATTTCAGAAACAAAACATTTCCATATGCTGTTTTTTATACTTGTACTACAGTACATTTCATAGACAAATATTACACTTTTTTACTCCACTACATCTATTTAACAGCTGTAGTTACTAGATACTTTACATATTAAAATTTTACATGGAAAAAGTCAATTATTTGTTTGTGAAAACAAATAAATAACTGACAAATAACAAATAACATATGATAATTTTATAAAATATAATGCATTGTTACAGATAAAGCTTCCGGCTGCAACATTAAAATGCTGCTTCTATGTTGATGCATTGCTAATAATAATATGTCATAATATATGATTTAAAGGGGCCATTCTGCTGCATACATTCAATTCAAGTACATTTCATAATACACATAATTATAATACACATAAATTGTGGTATTACTCCTTTTACTTCTAAAATCTGGATATTTCTTCCCCCACTGGATGTTTGACCTCCTCTGCATAACAATGAAGGTGTTCAAACCATTGAAATATTACATTTAGAAAAAAATAAATCTCTTTTTTCAGAACTAGTGTCCCTTTTACTGATGAATTTTGAAAACTGGGCGAACCTTCGTGAATCTGTTGCTTTGTCCTGTACACCTAAACCACACATGTAATGCTGACATATTGTGTTTTGCTCTGGTACACCATTATGCAGCACAGTAGATTGCACGTGTTGGCGCCACTTTATCAGCATCAGGGGACTGAATCAGGTAGACGGTCCAGTCCCACAGCTGGGCAGAGACAGAAATCTAATACATGCAAAGCTGCATGCTGTCTCATGCAGAAACAAAATGTAAATGTGCAGACTATCATTAATTTGCACTTATTCCTACTGTCATGGCTTATGGATGCAGTGTTGCTCGCTGCTCATACTTATAGGGAGAGATGTCAGATTTCATCTACAACAGAGAGACGAAGAAAAGACAGAGGCAACAAACAGACATAACTTGTCAGTGCTGAGTCAACACAGACTGGAAGTGAAGACACCATTGAGTGCAGACACCAGCCAACTATGTTGTACTAAAGTCAAGATGAAGTGGCGACACTTTTCTGGGAGAGGGTGACAAGATGTTTTACATGTTACTGTCCTGTACAGTGTAGATACCCATTTAGCATATGAACCTTATTATTATACCTTATATTAAGACTTATTATTTGAAAAGCACTGTAAAGACGTCAGATTTCATCTATCCATGAAAAATCATCACAACTACCATCATCATCATTATACATCATATCCTTAATTTTTGCTTAATATATTAATATATTGTAGCTATGGTCCTCTCAGTTTGTCATGTAGCTAGATAACATTAGCCTTATTTAAGTGGCTAATGATACAGTTAGCTGGTTAAATAACTGTGGTTAAACACAAAACATTAATAACGCAACATGGAAAACAGCAGTTCTGTTGTGCAACCTCAGTGTCAGTAAGTGAGAACATGATTTAACCTCCTCTCATGTAACAGCTTTCATGTAAGTCCTGATGATGCCAGTAGATGGCAATACAGGGTGATACAGGGTGGTATCTGTGTCAGATACACAAAATTCTTAAGGGAGAAATGTATGATTATATTGTAACATAGTGTGAACTAAATGACCTAACCCTAAGTTGATGAGATATTTGGAATAAAAAGGACAAGTGAAGCGCAGCACATGAAACAATGGAAAGTGCATTAACTGCGACTAAGTTCAATGTAACAGCAGAAAGTTAATAGCAGCACGAGTGAAGTATGGAAAATGATCAATACAGCTTTAATTGACAACGTGGTCATCCACATCATCGTCACCATCATCATCATCATCATCATCATCTTACCCACTCCCTGAATTGTGTCGACCACAAGCCTTGGAGGTTCTGTCTACCATCATCACCGCAACTTCATGTCGCAATAGACCACCAGCATCTCAGACCAAAACAAATGATTCTCGGTCATAAGTCCAGCCTCCGTTAGGCCACAGTTAGCCAGCTAGCGATAGCAACATTTGCCGAACAACTTCATAACATCGGTAACAGCAAGTTAGCTATCATTATCATTGGTACTGTAGCCAGTCACTAATGAAAACAGACATGTGACCTTATGAACCATCAAGTTACTTAAGAAGAAAAGCCAGTTCTTAGTCAAGCTGGAGCCCTTCAACACCTTGTAGGGTTCTCCATATCGGTAAAGCCAGACCAGTATTGGCCGGCAAAATCTTTAAATGGATGTTTTCACAGGAGTGTGCTCTGGTCTAATCTCTGTCTTTGTCAAAGGCTCTTTCAGGATGAACGAGGTTTCTTCAGTTGGGAAAATTCTGGAAGGTCCCCCCACATGAAGGCTGCATACTGCTTTATAACATCTCACCTGTGGGTGGTCCCCACGTCTTTACAAACATTGGGAGGGCCAACAGTTTTTTGAACAGGAGGGACTCACATGCACTATCATGCACACGCTGCCAATACATAATACCAAAACAAAGAACACAGAGCTGGGCGTACTGCAGAGGGGGTGTGATTTTGTTCTGTGCTCAGGATGCCATTATTACACTATATCATTGCATAGAAAATAATTGTTTCATGCTGTATTATTGTTTAAAATCTCATCAACAGAACCTTTAAAGAAGTGGAGCAATAGTACAAATTTTCAACCTTTCAGTTTGATTACAAAAAATATACATTGCTATTGGGACTACTAAGTCAAATTTATACTATAATGATAAACACCATGTAATTGAAAAATAATAATACACCCTCCTTCCTTGTGGAGTGCAAGATAAATGCATGAAGTCTAAGTCTTCTGCAGTTGAACGTTATATAAAGAAAAATGCCAGTTTAGACATATATATATGAAATATAAAATATACACACACATCCTGTTTCTCCGTTCATTCTTCAGGTTTTAAATTGACACCATCTGTATATTCATATATGTTTTGTTAGTTCAGGGAGACACTGTCACTATCATTTCTGTTAACACTTTATCTACATACAGTATGTATTACATATAATACATACTGTATGCATATATGTGAATTTAATATGTCTTTAAACCATAAGAAGAAGGTGCTTAACGATGGTTCTTAGCTGTAGGAATGATGCACATGTGGTCAGCTGATGCAGCAGTCATTGTCTCAGACTGAGGCCTGCAGACTGGCCCAGCAGCAGCAGCATCTCTCTCTGTGTGGATTATATGTTGTCATTACATATTTCGCAGTGCTGGACATCCTGAGCTTAATGATCCACACCAGTATCAGCCAACACATCTGATTACAGCACTAATTCAAATGTCCACTGCTCCTATACAAATTTCACTTGAGTGTGTGTACATCATATATATAAATATGTATGTATATATATATATATATATATATATATATATATAAGTCGATGAATTGCTACATACATGAATCGTAAGACTGTAATAATTAATTAATAATTATGTTCATTATTTAATCAGTCTGTTCATTGATTTAGCTTAGCGCTCCTTAAATTGACCGCTGCAGCCAGCATGTTTGCTCAAAACGCGCAACCTTTACTTTGAAGACGAGCTGTTTCTGTTTCCGGCTTTTGACTTCCCTGTTCAATTTTCATTGTACAAGTTGGTTAATGGAACAAACTGACGCTTTGGTGCGCTGAATTGCATGTCTTCTTTCAGTGGGAAAATAACACACTCAAAGCGTTAACAGCGTTTAAGCCGCATCGGCTAATAAAGGACGAGCTCAAAAACGCCATCCCTTATGTGATGGGACAACATTAAGGCGACGTGGGCAGTGTCCTGGTTTTGGAAGAATCACTGAGAGAAAGAGGCAGCGAAGCAGAAAAGGGAAAAAGATCAGCTGTGGAAACTGGGATTACATTAATGAAGGTGTCTGGTTGCCAAACGACTTGGTTGTGTAATGAAACAGACCAAAATGAACTTTTCAGAGGGAAACAGTAAATGGCAGATCCTACATTAAAAACTGAGTCAAAACAAACTTACCTGTTAAATTGCGATCAGCTTCTGCAGCAAAAGAACTGTGTTAAAGTGCATATATGCACTGAGTGCTAAAAGCAATGCACAAACTGCAGACCAGTGTTTCTCCATGTTAACTTCTTGCACACAAGAATGTACTCTTGTTTGGACAAATATCCAGTGCACAACCTGCAGTCTGGGCAGCCCAGTCAGAAGATGCTGGGCCTCTGTGCCTGTAGAGTTTCAGATCTTCAGAGATCTTTGATGAGACTTGAGAGCTGCCACACTTTTCCCAGCACATGCCACTAAATGGAATTTATGGTCTGTTGTGGTCTATTGTATAATGAAAAATGCCAGCTTAGGGGATATTGCCGTTCCTATCTGTGGCTAGTGCAAATGTATGATGGCGT